ACTGGTGGAAGCAGGGTCAGGGTGTGGCCCTGCACACAACACGGAGGACCTCATTTTCAAAGCCAGACTGGCCACATACTGACCTTTACTCACACTTTTAACCCTGTGCAGTTGTTCACTCCCTTTCTGACGAGACCCTCTCAGTGGGATATGTGGACGGTTAACTCTGATGGTGTAGCTAATGAGCCGAAGTCATTATTTGAGGATTATATCTGACAGGTGCACAGAGCCCTGCTTAACAAGACTCTTGTCTATATTGTCGCTGCAAATCTGTGGTTAATGCCTAAAGAAATATTGTCTGTGCTGATCTGCGATTTATTAAAAAGCTAAAGTAATGGTTATTTCAAGAGGGCAGCCATTATCTTGTGAAGATGTATTTCATTTATTCATTCACGACCTCCAAAGCTCCGGGGTTGGGATGAAGCTGGGAAGAATAATAGTGCCAGATTTGGCAGTAAACGTTTTGCAGCTATTTTTCGGCCCCAGATGTTGAAATTGTGGCGTAAATTCACTCTGACAAGAACACAGCCAATAGTTGCTTTGCCCGCACTCGATCAAAATGACACCCAGACTTTTCTTTATGAGTGTAGTGATATTCATTTCCTGTCCTTTTCCAGGCCGTTGCTGTTATAAATGCAATACTTTTTTCTGTGTTGCGTTCCTGTGCTTTGGTTGTGCAAATATAATACGACTGATAATAATAATAAAAGAATGTTCAATTCTAAAGAAAGCAAAACAAAGAAATATGCTTTAACCCATGTGAACAGAGTTCAGCAGACAGCTGCAGCCATGACTGTAACATCTGATGTGAAAAGATCACTGATTCAAATGAAGATTCACAAAACATAGACAATTTATGAGAGTTCTAAGAATTCTTGGGTTGGTCACCCTTCAATATAAATTGTCTTATAATGAAACAGTGCAGTAATTAAGAAGATTCTATGTGTATCTGTAGTTTGATTCATAATCCCGGTGTGTTAAATGAATCCAAAGGGCCCAGTCACATTCGGTGAATAGAGCAGCCACGAGGCCACGGCCTGACAGCAGATATTTGAGGCAGCAGCAGCTTTGAGGGTTTGAAGGTCGAGCTCACCAAAGCATACCACTGAACTAAAGACATGTCACTTTCTTTCTCTCCTGTTTTAAAGCCGCGTGCCTTCCTCCGTTCCCCATGATCCAGAGAGCGTGAAAGGGACAGCCGCTCTCCCCAACCCTCCTTCTGTCGCTGTCTTCACATAGGGCCGCTGATGGTGTGTGAGCTGGAGGTGTGACACTTTCCCAGTGGCCCTCAGATATCCGTTACCCAGGCAGGGAAGCCATGGCACGCAGCCCACAGCCCTGTCTGTCTCAGAGAGCACAATGGCGGGACACCGTGCCGAGGATCTCCTCTGCAGTCCGGCCAGAATCTATGACTGTAACCTGCACTGCAGCAGACCCCATGGGAAACAGGAGGGCAGCGCCACCATGACTGATCTGTCTTTTCATCTCTACTGTCTGTTCAATGAGAGAAGAGGAAAACACAGGGCAAAGGTCTTTACTGGGGTTTTCCTCTTTGGAGCCGTGCACATGTCTGTTCAAAATACTGTATTGAAGGATTTACTCCCTCATTTAATTGTATTCTACTTGTAATTTATGTACGTCACTAATGTTTCACTCAAACTGTGTAGGCATCATTTTTACCAGCCACAAATAAATGAGATGTAAT